TCTTGTTATTGGCTGTCAGGCTGCTGCTGATGCCTCACTGAGATACGTTTCCTCCGTGCCAAAAGGAAAGTCATGAAATATGACGGAACATGACTGAACATGTGAACAATTTTCAGACCCCAAGCAAACTATCATCTTTTTTCCACGGTTTTATTTTTTTTCTCATAAATAGTCGGCTATTCAGCATTCGAGGCGGGGATGGATCGCTGCTCAAAGAAGCCTGATGAAACTTGAAACTGTCCAATATTTTCTCTATTCAGAAGCAGGAAAATTGGCTTTCAAATAGGACCCTGAATGGCCATCACCCTTATCAGGACGGTGTCACCTACACAAACAAACACAACGACACAAACCAAATTAATTTTGACCAATTGACAGGACAGGAAAGTTTTCTCTCTGGGTCAAATAGCCCCTCACAATGGAGAAAAAAAACATATTCATGAATATAAAATTGCATTCTGTTGTTATCACTTCCCATTCCCTTTTTAGGCTGCCTGCAGATTTTTATATTTCTTCGCCTCTCTCGGATGCATGGTGCTGTAGTTGGCTTTTTCCTCATTAGTCATCTTGTTCCAGTGAATTTATGTGAAAACACACACCATTGCATATCTTCTGACAGGCCAAACAGATTTGCAATAAAATAAGAACACAACTGAGATTGATGACTGAGCTGCTTCCTGAATTCATGCCCCTAGTAGAGCATGAAAAAGCTTTTCCACTGTGGCACCGCGGGTTTTTTACTACTGTCCAATATAGTGTTTCTAATCACATAGGCGATGAAATTCATCAAAATAATGTCACACATGAAGCAGATGAGTGTTTACTTTCAGAGCACACTGCATCATTGGTTCAGGGAGTTTTAAACGCTTACTATAAGTCACTTATAGCTAATAGTTGACCATTTTACTGCTGCATGTTAAATGCGAATGTATTTATTCTGCTCTCCCAAGTATCTCGTCTCTCGTTTGTTTCTGTAAAATGTGAAAGTTAAGTGTATTTAGCACAGAGGGTGACATTAGTTTTGCTTGGAATTATGGTTTGAGTGCAGATTTCAAGCGTTTACAGCGTTTTATCTCATACAAATAACTAAATATCTAAACAATACTGATACTAAAATGAATGCAGGGTCATCTCAATAAATTGTTCATTTAGTAAAAGAAATGTGAGCAAATGTGTATTATACAGTAGTTAAAGGATTGCTGTTATAACAAATAATAATAAAAAGCAAACCAGCAACGTGACTTCACTTATGTAAGCTTCCAGCCTCGAGCTCATTGCTTCCTACTGGAGATACAAACCATTTAAACAAATGCATATCTTCATTTTTAAAAAGTAATTTTCTAAAACAGCGGGGCACTGCAGATTTAGGCAAATTTTCTTCCAACATATAAAAAAAGCATATTTATTAGGAACTATTTTCAGTGGCGGATGGATACACATTTAATGCTCTGCTATGTATTTCAGATGCCTCAACAGTGTGTGTGGTTTTATGACAAAGAAGAGACAAAAAAAAAAGTTAAAACAAAGTCAATATTTCTGAGTGGGATTAAATTGTTGGTTTCTGATATTGACAAGAAAAGCAAAGAACACAAGCAGAGATGGATCCTTGAAAATGTACCTGGATGGTCCTTAAACAAACAAACAGAAGGACTACAAAAACATTTCTGATATTAGTCAGTAAAAACAATAAAACAACCAAATGAAATACGTCCAATTAGAAACAAATGTCAAAGCAAACACAGACTTTAATTCACTAGATTTTTATGCCACTCATTGCCTTCCGGGCTCATTAAACTGAAATGGATTCAGAATATAAATTTTGCTGACTTATTTGCTAAATTATGTCAAAAGATAGCCAATTCTGCATTTTACATTTTGATTTCCGCGTGAAGTGGAATTAACAGATCTACATCACCGGATTACTGGCAGCACCAGCAGAGTCACGCGCTGTTCAAGATGCAACAAAGCAGCCTTTCAGGTCAACAAAGGAGAGCAGTGCTGGCGAAACACTTAGCTCCTGGCCTGCTGATTGATTGCCTTTTATTTCAAATGATTTGGTGCCTGTTGTTTTGTATTCTGTTCTAAATGAGTGATTGGATAGATGATGGGGCTGCAAGGTGGAGCGGTGGTTAGCACCGTCGCCTCGCAGCAAGAGGGTCGCTGGTTCGCGTCCTGGTGAGGATCTTTCTGCTTGCATGTTCTCCTTGTGCAGCGTGGGTTCTCTCCGGGTTCTCCGGCTTCCTCCCACACAGTCCAAAAACATGTTAGGTGTGAATGTGAGTGTGCTTGGTTGTCTGTCGCTAAGTGTAGCCCTGTGGTAGACTGGTGACCTGTCCAGGGTGTATAGATGATGGATGGATGGATAGATGATAGATCTATATGTGCTGGAAATTAAATCTTCTAATATTCTTTTTTCTCATTTAAAGGCTAAAACATGCAAACAGCTGCAGGGTGATGCAGTGGTTAGCACTGTTGCCTCGCAGCAAGAAGGTTGCCGGTTCGCGTCCCAGTGGGGGCACCGGAGTCTTTCTGCATGGAGTTTGCATGTTCTCCCCGTGCAGCGTGGGTTCTCTCCGGGTTCTCCAGCTTCCTCCCACACAGTCCAAAAACATGTTGAGGTTAATTGGNGTCAGTAAAAACAATAAAACAACCAAATGAAATACGTCCAATTAGAAACGACTGTCAAAGCAAACACAGATTTTAATTCAGTAGTGAGTGTGCTTGGTTGTCTGTCTCTAAGTGTAGCCCTGTGATAGACTGGTGACCTGTCCAGGGTGTCTAGATAATGGATGGATGGATGGATGGATGGATGGATGGATAATAGATCTATATGTGCTGGAAATTAAATCTTTTAATATTCTTTTGTCTCATTAAAAGGTTAAAACATGCAAACAAAGATGCCCATGTACAATCTAAACCATTACATAGGAGGGCTGCAGCAACAACAACCAAGTGACTAGTTAGTCCATCCGGCTGAATGACATGGCGAGAGTGGCTTCTATTACAACTGAGAGATGTAACTCACCAAAATGGACTTCTAATTGACAGCATGTATCAGCTCTGTTTATTACTAAGAAGACAAGTGTCTTGAGGGGGCTTTTCATGTGCCTGAAGATGCCTGACATGTTGGAATTATTTCCCTGTTGGTCTTAAAAACCAAACCCTAATTGGATTACTTCAGCACAAATTGGCAGATATGAAGAGAGGCAGTGAAGCAACTGTTCGCAGAGTGAAGAACAAACAAATACAGGCGTGTCGGCCCAACTATTTGCAAATAAATTTAAAATTCCAGCTTGCCGCAGAGCTTGCCAAAGCTTTCACCAGGTAAAACCCCCCAAAAGGATACAAGATCCAAACAATTACAATCAATTTCCAGGCAAGCCGCACTTCACAGCTGACGCGTATGAGTCGGTAATATTTGTTAGGCGGCTGTCAGCTGGAGGGATGGAATCCAAGCAGCTGGTGCATTTAGCAGTTCCAGTAGGAGAGGAGAGGAAGCTACAAAAGGATCTTTGTCTGAAAATTTCTTTTAATTCAGAAATTTAGCTCGCTAACACTTAGTACCTTCAATTTCTGCTGCATATGTGTGCAGCAGCTGAAGGGGAAGCCTCGTTTGAACTCATGTGTTTTAACAGATTTTGACAATTTGGGAAAATCCCCTTGTTGTTTATTTATTTTTTTACCATTACCATTTTTTCATGTCTGGAGCTACATTTCCCCAAACAGCTATTTTTTTTGTTGCATAAAGACAAGAAGCTGGAGGAATTGCCAGCCTGGATAACTGTAAGCGGCAAGTACCTATAAATAAACTCCCCTAAAACCACACACTGCAGATAAAAGATGAACCAGGACTCCAGGCATGAAAGCCACAAGCCTTAAACCTGAATTCTTTCCTACAGCCAGCAGGGGGCGACTCCTCTGGTTTCAAAAAGACAGAGAAGTTTATGAAAAATTGGCTTTACTTCTCCCTTAATCTGTAACCTCAGTAAACATTTTCCTAATGAGTGTATGGTCTCATTTGCTAGTTTCAAGGCTTTTTGAACACAACATGATTTTCATTTCCCCAAATTGTGATCCCATTTAGATCAAAGTGGACAATAAAAAATAAAGATTATATTTTAGAGCTTGGTGTCCTTGAGCTCTCAGTCAGATCCAACCCTCCAAATAAGAAAACAAGAGGTTTCAAAAGCGTAATCCATAAACCAGAGAGTGACATCACAGCAGCTCCGTCCATCTTTAGCTTTAGCTATCATCTTTAGTCATTTTTGAAATAACTGGTAAGTTATAGTAGAATTTGTAAAAGCATAGTTAAACATAATTATAAAATTATGATGACCTGATTTTGTTATTGTAGTTTTTAAAGCTCCTCCTTGTTAACGATGTTAAACCTGCAGTGCGAAATGTTTATCTCCCCCTTCTGGCAGTGATAAGTATTAAAAAAAACATGTGGCTCTCCAGTCTTTGCTATTCTGACGGAAGCTAATTCTGGTATTGATCGTCTCATTGAACTCTCTAATTTGCAACTTACTATGCCTTCTATACTTCAGGCTAGGCTTGTCTTCGGCTTGAGTACAAACAGTGCGGCATAAATAGGACCGCACAATAGTTTGATTTAACCGCCGTAGAAACGAAGCAGAAAAAAGTAAGGCTCTAGTCAAAGCAGATTCAGCTTCAGGCTCCTGACAGCAAGACTGTCGCGCTTCTCGTGGCCCAGCTGAGAGCGATCACACCTACGCAACGCTACAGTCACGTGGAAATCTCTCGGCGACTATAAGGTGTTGATTAAGCGAGTCAAAGGTGCCTCGGAAACATCTGGATCCCGAAGAGCAGCAGCCCGAGCGAGCATCACGAGCTTCGAAGGCACTCATCGGAAAGCGCTTCTCAATCTCGTTCCCTTGTTTTCCCTTCTACAGCTAGCTCCTTTTCAGTGAAAAAAAAGACATCCGATGGTTGTCTGCGTTGAACAGCGATTAGAAAACAGGGTAAATGTATTGTCTTACCTCCAGAGTGCGGTGGAGGGCCGCACAGCAGAACCACTCCTTGACCTTCCCGTACCGATACAGAGCTTCTTCTGTGAGTCTTGAAGTTTTCCAAGTCTGAAAAACGAAATTAATAAGCTGTAAGTACAACATCCCCACAAGTCAGAGGCTGTTACATTTGATCATAAAACCACGAGAGCTCCGTCGTGAGCAAATCACTGTTTTTTTTCTCGCCGCTGTGTTTTTGCCTCCTTCTCACTTCTATTCAAGGTCACATCACACGGCGCCTAAAGCAGCGTGCAGCAGGCGAGGAAACACTCACAACAGGTTGCCCGTTTATTATAGAGCTCACACAGATAACACACACTTGCAGGGTACCAGAAGGTTCCTGGCCTGCATTTCTTCGGACTGCAGGAAGAAACCAGAAGCGTTATCCTGGCAAATACAGTGCTTGTAAACTCCGAGGGGGCCAAAGGTTCAAGCTCGCGGTGCCTCAGACCGCAGCGAAAAACCACTAAACCGCCGTCCTCCCTCGCAAGCGTGTTAGCAAATAATATAGGAATACAGGAACATGAAACTCTGCAGCTCTGGAACTCTTTCTAAAGAGTGAAAATAACACTTAAAAGAATGTCTGAACCTTCTGCAGCAACAAATTGAAATTTTTTGGGGCGGTAAACAGCCTTTGGCTTTGCCTCGGGCCAAATCACCCCCTGTGTGCGACTGTGCTGTAGATATCCAAGATTCGTTGTGATGGTGCCACAAGTATCAGAAATAAGTTGAATTAAGGGGCCCCAGCAGGGACGTCTGCCGGAAGAAGACAGCGATAACTGGTTAACAAGTATTAAAAGTTGAAAGTTTTATGGAAATAAGCACAGGTGGAATAAATCAAGAAAGAAGTAAATAAATTCCACCAGCATGCAGCTAATGACTACCCTACATCTTATTAAGCTGTTATTTGAAGGCTGTAGGCTTTATTGTGTAATGATTTTTTATTTTGGGATGATTTTTTTAAATATATATTTTTTAGAGGAAATGAACATTTGCTTCCATGTGTAGAAGACGATAAAGCCGCCCCAGGCTCACAGGTCTGTCCAGCTCCAAAGGGCCCTCCTTGTGTCTGATCAGCCTGATGGAACGCGCATTTTTTTGTTTAAACATTTTGAATACAGTTCAGGGCTGCAAGGTGGTGCAGTTGGTAGCACTGTTGCCTCGCAGCAAGAAGGTCGCCGGTTCGCGTCCCGGTGGAGGCACCGGAATCCTTCTGCGTGGAGTTTGCATGTTCTCCCCGTGCAGCGTGGGTTCTCTCCGGGTTCTCCGGCTTCCTCCCACAAGGTCCAAAAACATGTTGAGGTTAATTGGTGATTCTAAAATTGTCCGTAGGTGTGAATGTGAGTGTGCTTGGTTGTCTGTCTCTAAGTGTGGCCCTGTGATAGACTGGTGACCTGTCCAGTGTGTCCCCTGCCTTCGCCCTAAGTCGGCTGGGATAGACTCCAGCACCCCCCCCGCGACCCTAATGAGGATTAAGCGGTGTATAGATAATGGATGGATGGGATAATGGATGGATGGAATACAGTTCGATTATGTGTCTCGATTGTGGTAAAAGAAGGGTTCGTTATGTGCAAGAATATGAAAAAGAATTTCCCAATGTCACTATTTTGTATCGTACTAAACACTAACAGTCACCACTGAGATGCAGCTTCAGCAGCCTGAAGCTAATTAAAAACAAAGAAGACTCTCAAACCTCAGTTCACTATCCATACAGAGGGATATTACTATTGATAAGAGAAGGATGAAAAAGAGAAGGATGGTGCTATAAGATGGAATCGCCTTACTGTGCATAGTTTTGAGTATGGCGTGTTCAGTTGTGCTGGACTTTTTGTTTTTTGTTTTGGGACACTTTGGACGTTGTAGGTCACAGTGGACTCGGTGGGATGTTTTTTGCTGAACTGCATTCCTGCTGACAGCTACTGTTGCTTCATGTTTACTATTTATGGTGATATTGTCACAGACGCTGACTGTGTGGCTTCTCTCGAAAACAGCGTTGCTTGCTTACAGTAGTAACAGTCGCACATCGCTTTCACGCTTGTTGTCACGTGTGGGTTTTGCTGCGACTCGATAATGTCGGTCGTAGCGGCTGTAGCGGGCATCCGGCATGAATATCAAACTGCATTCATTCGCCTGCTAGTTCAGTCCGCCTTACTTCCTCTATCTGAGGTTTTCACAAATTATCGTCGAAATGCGCGGCGCTGACCGTGGTGCTGAAATAGCCCATCAGCAAGTCGTGCCGCTTAAATATCGGCAGGTTGCTGTTTAATGATAAATCCATGGAAATGTCCACGGTGCTGAAATAGCACACCTCACTGTAATCCGCATTTTCTCTCCGTTCCGCCCTTCTGTCTCTGCGAGTTTCTCCTTGAATCCGTCTTGCATCTCCATACAGCCTGTAATAAGGCTGCTTAAGGGCCCATTACGGGTCTTCTGCAGCGAGCCATCAGCTCCACACCTGCCTTCAGACGCCTAAAGTTTCATCTGTAGTTTCCTGTAAGATTACAGTGTGTCTTCATCAGGGAACTCCACACACTTTGCATGAATTTATTTGAAAGCATTTGGGAATATGTTGGCAAAAAAAAAGGTCCAGTGAGACGAAGCAGGCAGACGGACTGAGGAAAGCATTTCTAGACCATATTCAAGTATTTTTCGAATTTAAACGTTCACAAGAGACTGAATACAATTTAGTTGTTGCAGATTAGTGGACAGTATTTAAAATGTTATTAAAGAGGATCAAGAATTTCCCAAGAACTTTAAATAAAAAAAGAAGCAATTAACACGTGTTTCAATCCAAATATTTGGGTTCACCAAGACAGACTGCCGGTGGCTCTGCTTTTCCATTCAGGTGCTGTTAAACCATTTCAGAAAAGGAAGTTAGAATGAGTGGATGTGTTTAAAAGAGCACCAGGGATGCATCACTTTGGCTTTTCTAACTCGTATAAAGCATAAAATCTATTCGGACGTTTGTTTTTAATTTCAGATTCTCAATGGTTCCACAGAGTTTTTATGTTTTTTAGTTTGTTTTTAACACAAATTCACATGAAAACAGGTGGATGGAAACACATCTCAGTGCTTCAGCTCTCTCTGCTTTGTACTACACGGCTGTCGGATCCCATAATGCCTCCTGCTTTGTTTTTATATTGCTTGTGTGGTTTAATTTCTCCTCCTGGATGTATTTCTGCTTTGAACAGCTGGCCCGTATGTAACCGAGAACATACAACATATAGCAAACCTTCTAAATAACCGTATGCTGAAGGAGACACACTCCAGAGAAAGAAGCGCTGCATTGTTGTGTTCCAAATAACGAATGTAAGTCCAGCACGAGCTAAATACATTATGAAAAAAAAGAAAGTGTTGAAATCAATAGTGACACACACCCACTAATATGAGCCAAACAGCAATCTGCAGCCGTGCTGCTAAGCAGAGAGGGTTGCTTTGGCAGGTCACACATGAGGGATTTTAATAGCTCCGCTGGTAATCAGGTTACCTTTCATTCATCACGCCCACCAGCACTGAACATTATAAAGGTATTCCTGCTATAGATTTGACATCGAAACCAGTGTTAAACCGAACTAATTTTCTTTTGACAATTGATGGAAACAATAGCGGGTCGTAGCCACTTCCAACAATCGGCGGCGCTAATGGCGTGCGGAGCTCGGTAAATGTGATTCACACATCACATGGAGGCCTCGTGTCTGCGCTGATAACATGGGTAGTGGAGGAATAAATACGCTCCTGTGGGAACTGCTTAATCCTGACAGCTGTTTAGCAATTCAATGCCATGACGGACAGATATCTGAATAAATAGAAAGAAAACATAAATCATTTACTACGATTTCAAAACTGCATGGCAACATTGTTAAATTAAATACCACGTTTTTACTATTTCATTGATGCTAAACCACATTTGAAATGTGCATATTTGTGTATGTCAGGACTATTTCCTTTCCTTTTATTCAGATGTTCGTTTAGATTGTAAATCTAGAGGCTGTTTTGAGGTCAAAGGTCATCGAAAATGTGATTTTCAGTCATGAAACCGAACCAAAGACAGACAGGAAGTTAATACACAAAGACTTGTAATTTAGTGTCTCAGATTTATCCATACATATTCTCCAAATTGGATTAATTAACCTTAATTAACCTTGTTCCATAATATGCAGCATATTGTCAAGTCAGTGCGAGCATCAGTGCGGACACGAGTGCTCCCTTTGAAGACCTGCTTGTCGCAAAACTGCAACCAATCCACTTTCAAACGAGATAACTGATTAGTTCGGCTCCGAGTGATCTGAATGTAAAATTATTGGGCTCACTGATTTATGAAGAGGACTATAAGGTCAGTTAATATATGTCATATTGGCTGCAGGACAAGTCAATTAAGAAGCAGCCTTTAATTATTTCTTCAAACATAAATCTCTTCTTAAACTACGAGACACAGTTTAATGAATGGCTATTTGAGACTCTTAAGGCCTATTAGGGGAGGAATTACGGATATTTCTTTAAAGATTAAAGCCACGTTTGGCCCTTGAGGGGTCAATCGGATACCTCAAGGATGCAAAAACTAACTGAAAACTCTTGTTTAAAATATATAGAAACAGGATATAGAGCATATATTTTAGAGGAATTTGAGGAATGACTCCCAGTTTTAGATTTCATCACACAGGCGCAGTGTGTATAAGATCTAAAACAGCCAGCCTCTCTTGGTTATCACTGCTAAAGAAAAGGTACATTGTGATGTTAGCGGAGAGCAAAAAGAAAACTGCAGCAAGACGTTGCTTTTGTTTTTCCCTCTCTGTGTCTCTGGGGTGTTTGCATCTCAGCTCAGTGAGATACAGGAGCTGAGAAAAGCATGTTGGACGGCCAAAATGCCTTCCTTTCCCGCTGCACACACACACACACACACACACACACATAGAGGACACTATGGATTACTTCACATTTAAAAGCCAGTTGTCAAAACACACTTGGTATGAGTCCACCGCTGAGGAAGCGCTCTGGTCTGGTGGTAGCAACAACCGGTCGGGAGGACGGAGAGCCAGCCCCCCAGCGAGGCGATTGTAACTGGGGGCATT